TGAGTGAGAATCTAAATTGAGTTTTTCAGGATCTGCAGTTTCCTTTTATACAATGCAAGCAAATCAGAATCAGTGAGAGACTACATAGCAAGTCTCACGAAGAAGTATAACCCAAGAAATTTATGAGTGAAGTAGAGGATGATGGTAGCAAAAAATGTTCCCTTTACAACTGATTTCGAAAAAAACCTAGAAAGCGTGGTTCACGTTGAAAGGCAAGCTCACTAGTGGATCAGGTAAAGGTGGTCAGCGACCAGGCATGAAAAAAAAATGACCAAGAAAACGACCCAGGTTTCGGAAAATAAGATCCCCTTTTTCCCGTCGATTCGGACATTAGGCGATTCACATCGGAGCTAACCTCCTCATCCACGCTAACGCCCTATTTCTTTAGAGCAGCAGAGTGAGACGGTGACGGCTTAGAAAATCGGTAAGAGTGCAGCGGCCCGAGAGGCGCAGGTATGGCCCTGGTAGGCTACTGCGGTCCATACACAAACGCAAAAACACGCTTCGTTGCAGAACCTTGAGGAGTCCTCCTGTTTCTTCTAGGTATACTCCCCTCCCCAACCTCCAACCTTACCGTAGAATCCTCCTCTAGTACTGGAGCTTATAGCTTAGCTTATAAAAAAACTGGTAATCTCTCTGTAACACCTTTGTGTCTGACAATTAGTCTTAATTATAAGTATAATCATAGCACAAAATCCTGTATTTTGTTATAGATCTCGGGGATGATACGAGAGAAGCGAACTCACTTTTGCTAGAAATTTTTCAGGTAGTTCTTTGTCCTTTCCTTGCCAGTCGGGATCAATGAGCAGAATTTTTGACATGAATCCCTGAAAAAAAAAACAAATCCAAATTCGAACTTTCTGCAAAATACAAGACCTATGTGCTTATACATTAATCGGTAGGGGTTTTAGTGAATCGCTCGGGGTGCGGCCCAAGCAAACCTCTAGTGATTGATTGATCATTTTCTGTAAGCTTTTAGGCTAGGATTGACTCGTTAGAAGCGTTCTTTTATGCCCTAGCATTTCCCACCTTGATAAGACGACATTCTTCCCTGTTATCAATTTTATCTTTCGATTGAAGCCCCAAGAGAGCAAAGCTGAAAGTTCAGCTAGAAACTCGAGGGTCATAAAAATTGTGGAGGATCGGAATTTTTGAAGCTGGTGCGCAACATCGAGTTGACTGCTCAACAATTGAAATATGTAGCAGTATATCAATAGTTCGCCATATTTAGGGGCATTTTGAAACGTTCCCGGTCCTAGAGTCCCACTTATTGGAGTCAACTCTTAATCGCACCGAAATTTATTGCGAATGTGAAAGAATTCGGGGGATTCGGGAATTTTCGCAGTCCTTGAAGAGTAAGCGTTGTTACCCCTCACCTCTCCCCCTGTCTCTACGCCTACATTGAGGTTAGCAGTGAAGCTGGAGAAGGCTCACTTTAGACACTTACTACTAAAGTAGATAGAACATTGAAACCCTGAAGGGTAGAGATGGACGCGGAACTGACAACTTCACTTTTAAGCTGCTTTTAGCCTCAAACGTTCCAGCATTCAGGTAAACTGTGAGCCGAGCGTTAACAATACCAACGCATGCTGGGCCCTGCAAGAACAAAACTTAAGACACTGTTTGTGCAGGGATAATTCCACATCAGCACTGGTTACGTCGCTACACGAAATGTTTACCACAGCGTTCAAAATCTGGGGGCGAACCCGAGCTCAGAAAAAAAAGAACAGATAACTAACACGTCCTACACTATTGTTTTCATCAACGGCCAAGCGCAGCTCCTTTGAGCTCTCTAATCCATTTTTGCTCCCGAAAGACAATAGTGACCTAATCGCGGGTGTATGTCAACAGAATCGTCCGCATCTCACGCCACTGGTTGTGGCTGCGACATCGCAATTGTGATGGACGAGTTTCTAATAGCATCATTTGAACTTGAATTTTACAGGGACGCCAAACAGGCCCGTTCCTTATATATTCTACTGCAATCAACTGCTCCAGCCGATAAATTCAAATCCGCGCGCCCTCAGGAAAATGTCGGCTCGGGACGCGCAGCGCAGACGACGAGCATTCTGTTGGACCGCTTTCCCTAATTGCAGCATACTCTTCGTGTAGCCCACAACAACATCAAGGCGTATAAGGCAGAAGGATTTTCGAAAGGATCAATGTTACAACAAGTAATGTACAGATTCGTTCCTAATTATGCATAAGAGGTCGCAAGAGCAACGTTCGGGAGCCCTGCCAGAAAAAGAAAAATGAAGCAATCTGAGACTGCTCCGCCAGGAGTATTCTTATACTCAAACACTAATCAGTTTACTAATTAGTTGGTATGGTAACATGGGGGTAGAAATGGAATTATAGACGTATTCCACTACTATGCTGCCACCTAACGATGTCTTTTTACCATTTTTGATGACTTAGTTTTTGCTGAGGGTGTATTTTTGCATATTCTGATAACATCATCATCGCAAACGGCATTGCACCCTTCAGATGAGATCGAGAGACACCTTTAATTTCAATTTCTTAATCGGTAGCGTTCCTGCTTACGTTGCCTTCTCCAATATCTTTGACGGATTTATTTGGGCCGAACGAGGCGGTGGTGCTCAGCTCGCGTTGCATATCTTCTTCGATGTCCTCCAATGTGACATGTGTACCAAAAGGCCTTCACCTGGCGTGTAGAGATTCATAGCAGTACCTAACCTACAAAACAAATTGAGTAAAAGAAAAAATTTCAACGTAAAAATCTTTCCACAAACACAACGCGAGAAACAAGGCGAAACTCCTACAGTTCCCCTTCAGACTTTGCTTTTGATGTGGCTTAAAGGCCGTGAACCCGACGTCGGCTGGAGGGTGGAGCGGTTTGCTGACGTCATCGCTCATCATTGGTGGAATGGTGCAAAGGGCTGTGATCAGGGCTAAATTCGAAATTCTCCCACCAGTGACGTCACCAAACCGATTTGCCTTCCAGCCATCGTATTTCACTATCTCTAAAGCTAAGAGAGCACCTTATCTAAACAACAAATAAAAGCAAAAATAAGCCATCTTTCTCCATAAAAAAATTGACCCTCACCCTTTGTTTATTTCCATGGCAGATCAAGTAGATATTTTTCAAGGGCATTTTTGAACAGTGTCACCAAAAAATACACTAAAAATTTCCAAAAAACCACTAGGGGCAAGCATTTTTCATGCCGATTCGGTAAGTCATCCAGGAAAGCGCATCCCGTCCAACAAGCAATATTCACAATGAAAACATGACAATGAAATCCCGACCGACGAGAGCAGAAATAGAGAGGTAAAAATTCGAAAAAAATTGATTAAACATTGGCAGGAGCTCATGTGAGTTGTCCTAGCCATTCGTCGCTATCAGCAAACAAGGCCGATACTGTCAACTGGAAGGCCCATGTTCTGGTCTTTGACCCTGTAGGTGATTAGCCTGTCGAGTACGAGGTGCCCTAGCGATAAGGGCTCACAAAACGATCATACTTCAATTCGTTCATTTGTTGTGTCTCAATAAGACGGAACCGACAGTGTTAAAGATTCAATGACCACGGACTTTGGGCTAACTCCTCGCTATGGGTTAGACCCCATAACTTAGCCCATATAGGCTAAGTCTTCGCGCTAATTTCCTTCCCTAATTCTTTCTACTTTGGGCTGGAAACTTGTCGTACTCATCAACTGTCAACAGAGGGTCTGCTTAAAAAAAACACGCACACACACAAGGGGAACTCTTTGAACTCCGTGTGGATCGTTCGGCTACGATGCTATCAACCGGTTTCGGCCCTAATTTGCCGATTAACGGGGCGAATGGCCTCTCATCGATCGCATAAATAGCAACTCTGAATTTCCTGTCAGTGCGAGTGCAGAAGTTAGGTGTATTCCCGATAATAGTTTTGGGAACCACAAGTACGATTGAAGTGTGAGAGCAACACGCGGCAGAATGGCCTCCACGATTTGCAGTTTTAGAAAATTACCTGCAGCAAAATAGGTGCGCTGATCTACTTTTCATTATTGCGCCGTGCACACAACTTCTAACCTGATTCAAGCCGTGATTTTATTTGCACATTTAACCATGAAGCATAAAGCATTTGCCATTGATCAACCCCATTTTGGGATGCGGCACTCGTATAACTTCATTGGAATTCGCCAGTGACGATGAATTGCGATGTGGCCTAATACAATGAATTGCGGGGCACGAATGTACAAATCGGTGTTTTACCCTACGCCAGGACAAGTGGGTACAAGTAATCGACTTTCCGGAGGCTATGGAAGACTGGTTGCCTGAACGACAGCACTGCGGACCGCGCGCCGCGCGTTAGCGTGCACTGCCAAGAAATCCAACCATACCGCTGGGACTTTCTAAGGAAATTAGTGCTATCCCCTCCCTTTCATGAAAGGATTTCATAACGACCCCCCTCCGCACAACTTCTTCCTCCCTCAAAACAACCGCTCAAAGGGGGGTGTCAATTTATGTGCTACCGAAACAAATACGACCGCCCACCACAACCTCTACAAACCTACGACCCCGCTGGTACTTGTTCCAAACGTAACGTTGACCGCACGGGCGCCACTCATACACCGCTTCCGCCCACGTTTACATTACTCTAGATAGATAAAAGAGATGAAAAAAAGCGATAGAGGACGGGAAAAGAATGAAAAAAAGGATCCTAAGTGGAAGATATAAATACGATTTGTTCATTTGCATTCACTATGAATTTTGTTAGCATTGGGCTCAGATTCAGAAAGGGCGTCTGTCCTAGGACAAGGCGGACCTGTTCCTCAAATAAGTCGCAAAAGCATTGCTTGCATAGTTGATGGGAGAAAACGAAGCACGGGATAAATACAAGGCATACCTGTAAAAAGGAGATCAGCTTGCGACTGCAGTTCTCTTGGCTGTGTATGCGCTCCTTGAGTGAGCATCTTAAACGTCACAACAGCATTCACATTCTCTACGACTGCCAAGAGGACGCTCGATTCCTGACTCATCGGAACTTTCTTTTCAATTTTCATTTTCAAGGCTTCCCCAATAGCGAAAGCGCTTTTGTCTAACATCATGGGATAACCAAGAAACTAACATAATACGAATAGTTTTCATGTGCATCTTGTGAAACCTCGGCGATTTCTCTGCTGTGTTTTCTTTTGCTGCCAAAATTGGCGAACGGGCACCTGATTGGACCTCTTTCGGCTGAGCCCAGAGAGAAGCCTCTTGAAGCTACTAAATGCTTACCCCCCCCTCCCCTCGAAATAGACAACATGGATGAGCTCATGGAGGCGCTGAGATTATAGTGGATTAACGGTGGTGATAAGTATTCCTTACCAGTAGTCACGCGCGTCGCATTTTTAGTAAATCTTGCAACTGCGTGGTGCTGACTCGAGCAGGGTCAACCGTTACGTTGGACCGACATTGGACCGACGTTGGACCGACGTTGACCGCTCTCCGCGCCGGCATTCGCACTCGCCTTGCGCGAGCCGTCTGTGTCTCCGTGCGTACGTTCACTCTCGGCATTACTCTCACACGCTAGAGAGCCATGCGTTGGACTTTGTCCAACGGACGGTTGACCCTGTCGGAATCCGTTCTATCGTCAATTAGTCGTATAACATAGTTGCGTCAATCACGCTTTTTGCGTTTTTGCACCGCGTGGACAAAGGGGTCGGAGCGTCGCCGCCGCACACCAAATCCGTGGATTTTGAATTGTAAATAAGCAATACTTAGATGCGATGAAGTGTTTTCTGTTGATCCTGTCTAACCTATCGGGAGTTACAGTAATGGAAGTTCGACCGAAATGACGATGTTGCGTAATAGAAAGGCAAATTTACCGCTGCGACCTCCCTAGTGTCCAAACTTAATTTCGGACATGGGTTCTTTGGTGAAACTTCGTATTTTGCCATACAAGTAGGACTGTATTTACTTTCATTATTCCTTTTTATCTACATCTTCACGTCAATGAAAAGAAAACGAGAAAATGAACTAAACGGATATCCGTAAGGTCTGGAAAACCTCTGCCAAACTAAAGAATATTTGGCCTTTCTGTGAGCCATGTGGTTTTAGGTATGCTAATGTATGGCCTATAGAATGAGTACAAAGACCTTAGGAATAAGTCGCGCAAGCGCAAGAAAAAGGGATGACTTGGTGGGACGCGTTACCGCGTCACAGTGTCCCACGAGGTGCGCAAAGTGGGACGCGTTACCGCGTCACGCTGTCGTCAACGTGTTACAGTTTCACTTTGTTAATCATGGATCATACATGCAGATTTAGCGCGTCATTGTCATCCAGGCAGCTGTTCTACTTCGGAAGCTCATCTTTAGAGAATCTCTGTGCCATGTATTTGTCACTACGAAGTTATACGACTTTGAGGCCTGAAGAAGCTGTTATACACCTACAAGCTTGCCAATAAATGTGTATGATGAGCCTTCACCTCGAGTTTCTGGAAGAAGCTTATCTTCGAGTTTCGCAAGTCGGCGGCAGTTTGTAAAACCAAAACCTTCGAGCTATCTTCAGAGGATTGAACATGCTTGCAGTGTGGTTCTGTGAGCTATCCACTCGAGCATCTCCTCCCTGTAACGTAAAAAAAACGTTCCCAAATCACCCAACAAAACAGAGAACTCACCATAGGTCTCAACAGTGTCGTGACGCCAATAAAAATTCCAACTATCGGTCTTCGTTTGGCACAGAAGAAAAACGCAATTCGACAGATCAATATGTATAGGATCACGAATGGTGCTATTTCCCACAGTTTAGAACATTTTACGTGTGCGAGTTTCAAACCCGTGGTCTTATTTTCAGAGGGTGGTGCAAATGTTTCATGTGGAAGTGAATACAGCGCTCGCTAACAGGCGTTCTCAGCTCATGGAGGAGGAACGGTGGGCCTTTATCCAACAGATAGGAGTTCGTCGTTATAGAAAACACTATTCAAGAGATTGTTTTGAAGGAGGAATTCACGATAAGAACGAAGGTCAAAGAAGGGGAAAATTGCATAGTTGGGAGACAGGCGGACCTCCTGAGGGTGCTGACCGACGCGCAATTGGCAGCGAAAGATTTGACCTCGGCGATCTAGCATGGCTCACTCTTGGCGCGGTTGGCGGGGTACGCCCACCGACTATCTAATCACTCGCCGCAGGTCTATACGTGGCGAGTGATTAGATAGCAGAGAGAGCGTAGTGTTGAAGAGGGCACAGCGATGAGAGTCGCATCAATGCGCAAATCAACGGGCAAGGAAGGGGTCCCATTTCTCGGGTTTCGGGCCGTTTCAAATGGTTTCTTCTTCATCCCTGCTCCACTGACCACCTCTACCCTTATTTCCAATGAGCTAACTTTTCATCGTGAACTCTGCCTTGAAGTGATCGAGACACAAGGGGTGAACATTGCTTATATTCAAATTTTTGTGATCACGACGGGTGGAGAGCGTAGCGGTTTTAATGAAGTTATTGGTGGAGAAGCATCAAGAGGAGGGCTGAACGACACCCTGCACCGCGATGAGGGATCCAGCCCACCAATGGCGTCAAATGACGTCATCAAAACTGCACTGCCCTCCAGCCATCGTATAGTGGGGATCGCGACATAGGTCCCGCGACTAAGTTCGCGTAGAGTTGCCTCGTTTCCATAGTGCGCGTTTTAAGTTTCTGACGTCTTCTTTACGCCCTTTTCGATTCACGTATATGGCCCCAAATCTGTGGTTACCACCCCAGCCAAATTGTCAGCGGGAAGAGTGGGTCCATGATTTATTCGCGAATAGGAAAAGCAGAAGAAACATAAAGAAATATTTTTTTACTATTGATCAAGACCGCTGCAGCCGTGCAAATATCTATGATTATGGTAGATAAACAGCTGTGCACGAAAACGGCCGAATGTCACCTTTATGAAAACTATAAACGAAAAATGGTTGTTTGAATTTGATAACGCATCCAAAATAAGGCATAAAATTTTGCTGAGCACGCATGAGCCATGGAGTTATGGTATTTTTACATCCCATACACCTTGATTTGAAATGGAAATAACTTCTCAGAAACGAAATAAATAGAAAGCATCATCGTCATGCAGTCAGAGCCTTCGATCATCACTTTATATGTTCCTTTTCTTTCTACACCGAATAAGAGTTTCCCAATCAGGGTCAACCCTAGCCTTGGTATGCTATAGAATCCCCCTTCCCAGAGGGCCTCACGAGATTACATTGTTCCCATCCGGCGCTCGCATACCGTAAGCCGCGGTGGCGCCGGAGCGCAGCTGCAGCCTCCAGCGCGCAACGCTAGCACTAAGGCAGCGACTGCAGTTGGTGAGACTACCTTTCCCAGGGCAGCACTCCAAGATTGGAGGAGCGTCGCAGCGTTGAACGCTCCACGCACCCCACGCGCAGGCTAGGGTAAGTCATTCACGTGTGCCGTTTCATCCTGCCCGAGGACAACCCTACAAGCACGCCATCCTCCACCTTCTGTATGAACAGCGCTCGGTATAGTTCGCGGGTTCGCTCGACGAACTGGGAGGCGAGCACGCATGGAAAATCGATGGCACGACATATGCGAGACAAAATTTGCGCGTGTTGTAGGTGCCTGTTGTGCGCCTGCACCACTAACATTGAACCTGACGGCGATTTTTTAGCGTGTTGGGTTACGGTGCGCAAGCGCTGGAATGGGAACATTATACTCTACAAGAGGGCCTCAACACGATACCATACCACCACCATCAGTCAGAGGTGCCCCAATATGCTTTCACGCCTGCTCCCGGCAGCTACCACTACACTCAACCCCATGGCTTCTTTATAGTATTGAATACGGATTTCTGGAACCCGCCGACACGGCTCAAACTCCGCAGACTTTTCCCTCAACCGCCGTCCAGCCGCAGAAGTGGGTAATATGGCCGAAAAAACGGCAACTGTTCTAGTTTTATCTATTTTGCGTTTCTTTCATGAAATCCCCTCCAACATCGCCAAAAACCCATCAAACGCGATCCACACGACCGCCGTAACAACCTCCTCAACCTCCACAAATACGCCCTTCTCTTCACATTTTTGACCTTCACCAACACCGAACACGACCCCCCAGCTCGTCAGTTCTTGAAATACGGCAACCTTACAAAAAACCTCGCCGTATGTTCAGGGGACTGAGATGTGGGCGCCAAGTTCTCCTAGGAGTCGATAGGGCACTCGGCGTCATTCAACCCCTTAACACACATCCACCTATGCTCCAAGACCCCTAACATAGTCAAATAAGAACGAGGGAGTTGATAGGTAGTGTTGGAGCTTCTGAAGAAACTCGTTATCCCTTTCCCGAAAATACGAGGTCAGCTCCCTAAATACGATCCCCACAATAATTTAAGACTGGGTTTGAGTTGCAATAAAAAGTAGGAGTTTCATTCGTTTTACATACTTACCCCAGGGTGAATAACGGTCGAGGAATTACTCGACCATAACTCTGTACTGTGTGAATATGTAGAAGATCCTCTTCAAGCTGTTGAGGAATCCTTGACCGATATTCACCCTGCCTACCCCATCACCCTCTTCAGTTCTGAGCTTCGCTTCTGGCAAAGGGCGATAGCCACTGCCAAAAGAGGATATAGCAAATCATGAAAATGATGCACTTATGTAGTTGTCTCCTGTAATTATTGTGTTTAACCAAGGTACAGCTCAACGGTTGTGTCAGCTTCGAACAATGCGAGTGGCTTTTCTGACGATTTTCATGGTGATGCTTGCCGTAGCCTTTTTCCAGGTAAACTTGACCTTTTAGTTAGCTTTGAAGCTCGCCTGGTAATCACATTGATGAAACCAACCCAAAGCTGTTCACCACCTCTCCCTTGATGGCTTTGACCCGCAAAATCATCCTGAATGCCTCCGAGTTAGTACTGGCAGAGAAAAATTAAAATAAAATTAACAAAAATATTCTGTGATTCCCACGGGCTATGGAACATTTATCAAACGATACTAGGATTCAGAGTCTATCATGCGTAGTCCTGAGAGGGGGGAAGAGGCTTGCCATTCTGCCGAAAAGGTGACTGAAACATACTGGGACATTCCGTCCTCAATGTGACTGCACTGCAACGACCTCGTTCGAAGAATTCGAGAGACTGGACAAATCGATGCGATCGACTGGTGGCAGTTGGTCAGTGAAGCGCTTTCATAGTCCGTTACTACATACAGAGTGCCATCCTATTGGCTGATAAAACAAGTGCCAGAGGGTGAAAAATGCAGAAGGGTGCTTATCCGCTTCATTGAATTCACACACTCCTTTGAAGTAAAAGTCCACACCTGAGCAAATCCGCAGCCGCAAGGAGGATTAAATTCCGGCGAAAAATGTGCAGAGTGCTGCTCCACGAGGAAAGATTGTTTGGCGTATACCGACCTCGCCGACATGTACTGATTTTTCAGGAACACCATTCCAATCGTGAAAGGCCAATAGCTGTTAGTCGATTTCGGTAGAAGATCAACAAAGCTGCACCTCCTGAGTTGAGCAAAGTGAAGGCTTGGCCCAAGTCCCACCGTGAAAGGGACCCGAGCTGCTTCAAGAAGGAAAGTGCTCTACCTCAAAAAGCCAAGCTCACCCAGGAGTGGTGCCGGTTTCAGCTCTCTGCTTTCGCTACCACCGAGGAATGGTCACCATTTTCACCAGAGCCGCAACCACTTCACTTTATTGTGGCAAATGAGTGAAAGTAAGATGTGCCGAGTTCGTCATCACAGTTCTGGGTCACTGAAAGCAGCATTCAAGGAAAGTTAGAACGAATTAGACGAGGAATATCAACGTACAACTTGATCGAAGCCCAAGAAGCTACCACGAGCTTGTATTCGTTGAAGAACATTTCAGAATTTGGCTGTTCCATGCTATTGTGCATGATGAGAGTCAACGTAGCCATAGATAGATTCGCTCAACATTCTCCCTTCAAAAGCTTGAAATATGCCAAATATATTGCTGTGTATGCGTCCATAATTTTGGGACAACCTGTATATTGTTTGTATTTTATTAGATTTTTTAAGGTAATATGCTCCATTTCATCAGAGAGAAAATCTTTTTCAGGGCACTGAGGCATCGATTTCGTGCGAAGAGATGGTTTGTGTATTGAATGTTGATGTTGAAGGGTCAGAAGTGAATCTATTGTGGAATTCCGAAAGCGTTCCGGTTCCACTAAATTTCTGTGTCCTAATAAATGGTTCCTATCTTTCTGAGTTTGAATTTACATCCCTTCCGTGGACCATAGCAAGATCCCTCAATTGTAAAAACATTTCACATCAAAGCGGTCAGGCCGGCGCACGGGTCATGTCCCTTCGCTATGGAGCGAGCAAAACGACAGGAAAGAATAGTGGAGTGCTGATCGGGAAAAAATGCGGGAGGCTTCCTTTAGGACCAAGCGCAGAAGGAGGTAAGAACTTCGGAGAAAATGAAAGTTGCTCACACACCCTGGAGTCTCTCTTGCCCTTCCTAAGACTTAGTCTCGCTTGTAGCAAGAAACGAGATATTTCACGCGGTTTTAAATGCGTCGCCACCATAATGCCCCGATGCGCCAAGTGAGGATTTGTCAAAAACCCTTTCTTTTCCCATCCGGAAGCATCATGCAAAGTTTGTGTTGAAAAACCACACCTTTGCTTTACCCAAAAAAACCTTATTATCCTGAGAATCTAGCCAGCTTAAGCTTAACAGGATTACAATATCCTTGCGGGGTCTCGTGAAAGAAATCTTTCGAACACAAATAACAGCCGTATAAGTAACAATATACTGATAATGGCGTACTAATTATTAGGTCGGTCCACAATTTTTGAGAACCTTTGGTGTTTTTCGATTTATTACTTATCTTATTTCTCTGATCTACTTATCCAGCATAGTATACATCATTATTATTAACAACATATCGCCAATGCGAGGGTGGGTATTCAGTGCCTCTCTTGTGGACTTTCATAGAGTTCTGATCGAAGGAAAATTGTAGTCCCGAATCAGTTCTCAACCCAATCTGACATCATCAAGTTCCTGTTGTTTCAACCATTCAGTTCATTTGGTGATGTGAACTGGGTGCAATGTGCTAACAAATCCACGAGCCGCAGTAGATTTGCTCAAACGATTCGGGAGTTCTGACAGTACAAACCCAACTCCCTCTGAATTCGAACTTCCTGAGTCGTTGGCGCAATACGGGAGGGCCTTTGCGCTGAAGACCGGCATCAACTAATACCAGTGTCAGTGATGGGAAGAATCGTTGACAGCTTGATGGCAACGCCTTCAACTTGAAAGCAAAGGAAGACAAAATCTATTTTTTTCTGAGGTCGTTCGAGCCCGCCTTGCTAAGAAAATTCCTAAAAAATTGGAGACTCTCGGGCGGTCAGTTCTTTTAGCTCCGCCTTGTAGCACTAATCCTGCGTCAACGAACGACTATCCGCTCTCCTCTCTCAATCACCTTCTGGAGAAGAAATCTCACTTGAATCACCATAAAGTCAAAATCGACATCCAATATTTCTTCGATCAGAACTCTATGAAATTCTATAAGAGGGACACTGAATACCCACCCTCGCATTGGTTATATGTTGGTAATAATGGTGATGTATACTGTGCTGAATAAATACATCAGAGAAATAAGATAAGTAATTAAGTACGAAAACACCAGTATTTTAAGAACGCTATGGCATTCAACCGGGCATTATTAGCATTAGTGAGTCGCTACGTATTCGGAGAATACTAGAGAGAAATCATAAATGAAAAATCAAATCAATATTAAATAGAATCGGTGGAGAAGAGCGCCCTCACTCCGTGTATTTTGATTTGCGATATTCACATTTTTAATCTCACTCATTTTATTATATTTGGTTATTTATTTATGCGTGCAATGATGCGCTATATGAAGCAGTTGACTGTACGCGAGACCATTATGCAGACTCAAAAGAGAACAAAAATAATGGAATGAATGAATTAAATTTTAAATAACCTGTCATAAGAAAAGTGAAGAGAAAGAAAGAGAAAGTCGTTGAAGACAAAGCAGCTTCCCCCAGAACATAAGCAAAAGGGTAGGAATGATACCGTGAAGACTGACAGACTAACGAGTAATTATAGTCCCAAGAGATCATAAGATTTCTCATCTTAGGCCGATGAATCACAATAACATGCTTAGGGATTCGTAGTGTAATTTGTCATTCTGAAGTGAATCGAATAAGTATCCTTAAGCGAAGATGGAACACACACACCCTTGAGCACGAAAAAGTAGTGAACAATATAGTAATAAAGCGATTGGAGATCCCAAGAAATCTAGTTTGTTTAACACTGCTTGGAGCCGGAAAGGTTTCAATACCATAAACAGAAGAATGCAGACGTGGCAGCCAACAAGTCGTAAATGAAGCAGTTTTAACGAAGTTACGTGTATAATTTGCCCATTCTATGGCCGAAAAATTGGAAGCCGCCTCGTAGTTTATTAGAAGGTCAAAATACCCAAAACTCCAATGGATGGAGTCGTAGTTCTCCTTTGAGTATCTTGAATGCAAGAACCAGGTCAGATATAATCCTTCTCTGGAAGAGACTCTTCAAATTTAGCTCCTGGAAAATAGTCTTATAAGACGGCAGAGTGTCAGAGTAACTCGTGCTGGGAAATGCTTTGTAGTACAAGATCCAATTGAGTTTCCTGAGCTTTTTCTGGCTTCTGAACGTCTTTGACAAGGTGCTCTAAATGAGGCTACGGTATTCAACAATGGGAAGAACACATGACATGACTCGACGAGTGATCAACTGTCAGTATGAAGCACGTCAATGTTCTGAAAGGAGACAAGACCAACCTGAGGCGCTTTTTTGCTTGCCTTCCGTTCCAAGACGACTGCTGCACCTAAATTTTCTGTAATTCGCGCTTCCAAGTCCATTGCTCTAATGCTCTAAAGTATTTCCGGGAATACATTGACTGAGATTAAAAAGGGTATTGTTTGCTGGTATTGATATATAAACCGTCTAAGAAAGCGCCCAGCTGAGCATTCTTTTCAACGGATTTACTTAGCGCTATCTGAGTTTCATGTCTTTCCCTGCGCATCGATCACTGCTACTTTGATATCATCGGCGAAACCGGCAACAGTGATTCTGCTGTCGGTTTTAAAGGCACAGGTCGGGACTAGTGCAGCAAACCATAAAGGTGCAGCTCAGTCTGTGAACCCAATACTCCTATTCGCCTTGGCGTTTCTCGCAGCATCTCAGCTATCGACATAACAGTAGCATCACATCCCCTAACGTGACCAGCAAAGGCTGGCGTCACCTGAATTTTTCTCAAGAATACTGAGTTTGGGAGCAAAGAAAACAAACAAACAAACAAAAATGGTGCCCTGTTAGCGTAACTTGTAGCGCACTTACCTGGTAAGCGATAGGTGCGGGTTCGAGTTACGCCCGGGGCGAAAATTTTGTTCATAACGCAACACCCTTGTAAAACTTCGCATGGCGGACTGCGGCCAAAAGCAGCAGCTAAAAATTGAAACAAGTCAAGACAACTTCCCTGTTTTCGTTGCTGTTGGATGCCTTTGCTGCGTATGGGCAACCTGTGTTTTCGCATTAGGGCTCACTACGTGCAGCCGTTAACATATCCACGATTATGAAATATAACCAACACCATACGACGTACACGGAAATATCTAGAAATTATCATCATGTAAAACCATAAACACAAAATGGGCATCTGAATTCGATAATGCATCGAAAATAAAGCATAAAACTCCACACACCATGGAGTTATGGTATTTTTACATCCCATACACCTTGATTTGAATGGAAATATCTTCAGAAACGGAATAAATAGAAAGCATCATCGTCATGCAGTCAGAGCCTTCGATCATCACTTCATGCGCTTCTTTCTTTTCCACACCGAATAAGTTGTTTCCCAGTAGGGTCTACCCTGGCCATGGTACGTTGTGAGAAGTCCATCCCCTCCCGAAGACCCTCAAGACGACCCGCATTCACCACCATCAGTCACAGGGGTCCCCAACTCGCCCCACCTCTCCTCCCAACCACCAACCTTACTCCCAAGGCTGTGTCTATAGCGACTGATACCTATTCCTAGGGCCTGCCGACACAGCCTAAACCCCAACCCCCCTTCCCTCAAGGGCTGTCTAACGGGAGAAGTGGTTAACGCGGCCAAAGAAACGACACTTGTAATAGTCTTACCTAGTTCGCTTTAATTCTCGGTAAATGGAAGTTCTCGCCAACATTGTCAAAAAAACCCGCGTAGCGCTTTCCCTCTACATCACGCCTAGCCCCCCAACCACGAAATCTCGCGCAACACATACACGAGACTTCCTCTTCGCTCTGCGGTCAGGTAATCTTCTAGAAACTCCTCGCTCGTATGGCGCTAGGCCTGAAAACTTAGCCCTACGTTCAACCGTTAAAGGGAGCGAACCGGTGTCGTGCGGGCGCTCATTCACTTCTTTACCCATCATTTCATCTCTGCCTTAGACCCTTAAAACAGTAACGAAACGAAAAATTCGCTTTCCCTCCTAGAAATTCGAGGCCAGCTCAAAAAAATGCGATTCCCACAAATAATTTAACACATTGACGACAACGCGAGTTTTGGCTTTTTTGGCCTTGTGGGACCGCGGCGATTTTGCGGGCGCGCTCGCCTCAGGCCGTTCAATGAGATTTGCGGGGGGGGGGGGGGGGGGAGTGATAATACACACTATGATCAATTAAACCAAATGAATTGTAATGAGCGCAACCTACCCAGGGGTACAGTAGTGGAATATTCCATCGAATGACATGAAATGACAATGAAAAAGCGAAATTTTTCAGAACTAGCTGCAATGGACCTCAAAAGCAATTTTACGTTGATTATTTCCAATCAAAACACACATATTGTCATCCTAAGGTTCCGTATCTACTTCTACTACTATTTAAATCTTCACATTAAAAAGAAAAAGTAAACGAAAAATTTATTGAAATGAAGATTTCGTATGGTTCAGAAATCCTCCTCTAAATTAAAGCATACGTGACCATTCTAAGGGCCACTATGTTTGTAGCTACGTCAAGGTCTCTTCCATGGAATGAATACAAGAAACTTCTAAAAGAATCAGGCGTGCGCGAAAAAAATGAGTGTAATGGGTGCGGGGGATATATATCCCGCACGGTCCGACATGGCCTGCAATGCGCGGGATATATATCCCCCGCGTTGTCGTCAATGTGTTCGTTTGGTCTACATT